AGCCAGTTCCTCCACGTCGACGGAGCACATCGCGCCCTTCGGTAGCACCCCCCTTCCCTTTGAATCCTTTCCCAGGGCAACCGTAGCCCCATCGCCTGAGTATGGCGAGGCCCGACCGGCCATGACGCGCCGAAGGGCGGCGTCCTCGTCCTCCTTGATCGCGGCCACCTGGCTGCCCCAAGCTAGCCGCGCCTCCAGTAACCTCCTCGAAGTAGCCCTCTGGGGCGGCGTTGCCCGCCCCTACGCGGCCGACGGCCCAGCGCCCTCGGCCGCCCCGACCGCGCCCCGCGAGAGGTGGTGCATGGATCGGATCAACCCGTTGAGCTCGCACATGTCTCAATGTGCTTTGACGCATCGGCCCCGCGCGGTCCACCACCACCGACCGCGGCAGCAGCGGCAAATCCGGCAGAAGGTCTCGGTCTCGAGGAATGGCTTCGGGAGGCGCGCCTGTGGCCGCCGTCGAGGTAGACGATGGAGAAGTGCGTGGATGGAGAAAAGCGGGCATAGCGTCGCCTCCCGAGGGGCGCAGAACCACGCGAAAAGATCGTCGCGACAAGCAGGAGCGTCACCGTAGCTATCGGGAGAGTAAGCCCACCAGAGTGGCCGTCGTCAGGGCGAACGGAACGGTAAACCGCCAGCCCCTCCCTCAAGCGCGGGGGGCCCCGCGAGGCACCACAGACAGGGAGAGTTTCTCCAACGTCTACTCGTCCTCCTCCTTCACTGCGCCCGAGCCCCCCTTCTGCAGATACTTCTGGAAGAGAACCTTCTGCTGCAGCCTGGCCGTCAAGTCGCGCTCCACGCCTGGGAGCGCCTCCTCGCCCTCCGCGAAGGACCTCCAGTCCAGCTCGTTCGCGAGGTCCCAGCGCACCTTGGACTTCCACTTGTTGGCCCCGCTGCCCCGGGGCTGCTTCCAGTCGTTGATGCATGCCGCGTCCTTGAACGCCCGCTTCAAAACATAAACTCGCGCGCATAAGATCTCGCAGCCCGCCGTCTGGATGAACTCGGGCGAGGCCTCCAGCATCCGGTCCAGCGTCATGCAGCGCAGCATCATCTCGTGGCCGATGTGGTTGCGATTCAACTCCTTGAGGCGAACCCAGTCCGTCGCGAACTTCACCATGCTGCCGTACTTCCCGTAGGTCTGGACCAGCAGCTCGGGCGCCACGCGGGAGGTGAGGCCCGCTGGGAGGGCGAAGGTGGGCGGGGCATCGATATTCGAGAGGTTGGCCAGCAACCGCTCCCTGGGGTCCCGGAGTGCCTCCCTCAAGGGCTCGAGGCTCACCCCCGCGCCCTCCAGCGTCTCCTTCGCCCCCAGGTCGATGGTAGGGCACGTCGTTGATCCCGCCGTGGCCGACGTGGACGAAGCGCCCTGCAAGGGCTTGCATCCAGGAGAGGCCTTGTCCGCATTGATCGTGTCCTCGAAGCGCTTCAGCCGGTCGATCATCCTGTCCACATGCATGTCCATGCTGGAGTCCGTGTTGACACTGGGGACTCTATCCCAGCTGGCGTGACTGCTCTCTCCAGGGGACGCGGCCGACGAGGCACTCCGACTCGTGGGGGCACGTGGTGACTCCGACCTCGATTTGGTGATCTCGTCGAGCAAGTTGCTCATCATGGCCTTCATCTCCTGCATGTCCTTGGCTGGCTCGGACTCGTCCGACGACCCCGCCACCGAGTGGCCCGCCTCCCCGTCGCTGTCCACGTCGCTCACTGGAGGCGAGGCCCCCGCGAGCAAAGGGGAGGGGCGCTGCCTGCAACAACGCAGGAGTCTTGGCCCGAGAGCCACCACAGCGGTGAAGATCATGATGGGAATCTCGAGCTTGCCGTCTTGGTACAGGTCGTGCAGATATCCTCGGAAGTCGTCGATCTCGAGTGTCATGTTGTGGCCATCCTCGAGCTTCTCCACTGACCAGCGCATCCACTGCCATAGGTTGCAGTAGACCGCCACCCTCCAGAAAAAAGAAGGCGGCGCCCACCGCCGACCCCAAGTTCCATGTGCTCCATACGCCAACCAGACCAGAGCGAAACCAGGACAATGAGGCAACGTAGCCGCGGATGTTGGACAGATACAGCTCGGCATCGAGCTGCTTCTCCTAGGCCTTCTCCAGGATGTCCGTCTTCTCGTTGGCTGTGAGGGTCGGGAACGCCTCGTAGTCCCAGCCTGGCTGTCGACGACTCGACATCTTCGCCCGATCCTTGATGTCGCCCACGCCGAGCGCGCTGTCCGGCTTCACGTAGATCCACCTTGTGTCGTTCTTCTTCTTGGGGTACATTCGCATCACCAAGAAGACCACCTGCCCCCGCTGGGGGCTAGTCGTCCGATAGAAGCGGCTCCATCGTGTCACGCTGGACATGTGCACCCGCAGATAGTCGTAGAAGCTGAGCCGCTCGGACTCTCTCGTGTACCTCAGGGACGCGTCGTCCTCGGGCTCCACGTGCGGCTTCGAGAGGATAGAGTCGAGGACTCCCCAGTCCCCGATGTACGAGAGCAAGGCAGCACTGGCGAGCCACCACCGCCTCGCCGTGGTGCCGACGATCAGCGCCCGCGCCGCGAGCACCCACGCTGGTGGGGCAGAGGGGCGAGCGCGCGCTCCTGGCTCGAACGACCTCGAGCCAGAAAAAGCTTGAGCGGACACGAAAGACAAGCAGGGCAGGACGAGGGATATAACCTGCACTACTATCTTACACGGCCCATCCCCACCACACCACCCCGAGACGCGATCAATTAAGTTTGGAAAACGATCATAGTAGTAGTAGTAGTAGTAGTAGTAGTAGTAGTAGTAGTAGTAGTAGTAGTAGTAGTAGTAGTAGTAGTAGTAGTAGTAGTAGTAGTAGTAGTAGTAGTAGTAGTAGTAGTAGTAGTAGTAGTAGTAGTAGTAGTAGTAGTAGTAGTAGTAGTAGTAGTAGTAGTAGTAGTAGTAGTAGTAGTAGTAGTAGTAGTAGTAGTAGTAGTAGTAGTAGTAGTAGTAGTAGTAGTAGTAGTAGTAGTAGTAGTAGTAGTAGTAGTAGTAGTAGTAGTAGTAGTAGTAGTAGTAGTAGTAGTAGTAGTAGTAGTAGTAGTAGTAGTAGTAGTAGTAGTAGTAGTAGTAGTAGTAGTAGTAGTAGTAGTAGTAGTAGTAGTAGTAGTAGTAGTAGTAGTAGTAGTAGTAGTAGTAGTAGTAGTAGTAGTAGTAGTAGTAGTAGTAGTAGTAGTAGTAGTAGTAGTAGTAGTAGTAGTAGTAGTAGTAGTAGTAGTAGTAGTAGAAGAAGTAGTAGTAGTAGGAAGAGTGATCGTAGTAGTAGTAGTAGTAGTAGTAGTAGTAGTAGTAGTCGAAATAAGAGCAGCAGCAGTAATAATAATAGTAGTAGAGGCTTCTTAAAGGCCTCTTAGAAGATTCTTAGAGGCCTCTAAGAAGCCTCTAAAACGCCTGAACGATGCCTCTTTGCGACAAGTCAGATTTCCTCATGTTTTAAAAAACAAACAACGGGGGAATATACCAATTTGTCCGGGGAGAACTCCATTCCACCGGTGCATATACCATCAAGCCGGCGTTTACAATTCGACCCCTGCAGAGGCTCCCCATGGGGCCTCCGCGGAGGCCTCAGGAGCCCTCCGAAAAGAAGATGGCCCAGACCGCTGCACCCAGACCGCTTCGCCCGCGGGCCGATTCACCCTGAGACCATTCGGCCCTCTCCGTGTCGCACCCGTCTGCTTCGCCCCCGTCCGCAACGCCCGCCAGATCCGCCACGCACCGTACAGCTTGCCCGCCCGACTCGTCCGTCAAGGTCGGTCCGCACGGCCCGCCCGCCAGGGTCCGCACGCTCGCTTCTGCTTGCAGCCCCGCCCGCCAGCAGCCACACCCCGCCCACGCGCTCACCCGTCCTGCGCCACTTCGGGCCCGCACGCCCGCTCGCCCAGCCGGTTGGGGCTCGCCCGACCTGTCCGCCCGTGCGACTCCGCCCGCCCGCCCCGCCCATGGGGGTTGGCCTGCCTCGCCCGCCGAGGGCCCGGCCGCTCGACCCGCCCGGAAGGGTCCGCACGCGCCCGCCAGCTCTGCCCGCCCGACGCGTACTTCAGGGTCCGCCCGCCTGACCCGCCCACTCGGCCCCCCTGGCCCTGGTCCGCCCGAGAACACCGGCCGGCCGCGCGGGGTGGAACCGACGAGGACGACGACGACGACGACGACGACGACGACGACGAGGACGAGGACGAGGACGAGGACGAGGACGAGGACGACGACGACGACGACGACGAGTACGACGACAGCGGCGACGAAGACGGCGACGACGACGACGACGGCGGCGACGACGGCGACGACGACGACGACAACGAGTACGACGACAGCGGCGACGAAGACAGCGGCGACGACGACGATGACGTCTGCACCCGTTCCCGGGAACCAGCTTTTCATCCTGAGTCGCTGTTGTAACGGTCCCAGAGCCCAGTGAGCGCCTCCAGAGGCCAGAAATCGCCAAAATCCTCCCGTCGCGAGTTTTGTCTCTTGAAGGGGGGGGCAGAGGGGGAGGAAGCAGCAGGACTGCCCCGTGAGAGGGGGCGAGGTCGTGGCCAAGGCATGACGCGGCGCTTCTAAAAACGAAGCTCCTCTGACTCACACGTGGGACGACTCTGCGCTGAGGGCGACGAGCCCAGAAGGGTCACGTCGCGAAAAAGAGTGCAACATCGCGAACAAACACGACCAGAGCCCTGGACCCCATCGTTCTTCGGCATGTTTCGAGACGCATCGATGTGTGATGGTCCTGGGGCCCGAAGCCCGGCGGAAACCCCCGCTGCGAAAAACACTGCAACGCCCAGATCTCAGGGGAGAGCGAGGGGCCATGCTGGCCCTGGTGTCAGGTCGGGCGTGTCCCCCTACAGGCGGATCTTCGACGAAAAATCCAAACAGTCAAGAAATATCTCAAAACTAAACAAATATGAGCGAAAAATCGTCCCCATACGTTTTTGTGACTATATTTGAACAGAGGCGGTCCGCCACGCGTCTTGCTCGCCCCCTGCCCCCCGTGACCTGCTTGCGCGGCCAGATGCCATGATGAGTTCTCGCGCGTCTCCGAGGGTGGCGCGGCACCGGGGGCTGCCTCGCTGGCTCGGGCAAGAACGGCTGCAGAGGCCTCGGGGATCGTGGAGGATCGGAGCTTGCGCAAGATGTTGCTGCCGCTTAGGGGCACCGGGAGGCCCCCAAGCGGCCCCTGGAGGTGACCAGGGACCTCTGCAAGTCGGAGACCTCCACGGAAAGGTCGTCGCCGTCGCACTTTCGCTGTAGCTCCTCAAGATTTCGGGCCGCCTACAGTGTGCTGTCCATTTCCGCACCTCCGACGTCGTGGCGTGTTCCATATAGAAGTTTAGTTGTGGAAGGACCCAGGCGATGCAACAGGCTCCGCCAAAGGAATCATCTCATCCCAACGTTGTTCACAGTAAGTTGTTAGAACATCCCAGCGGGCTCGAAATTGCGCGCCCTAGATGTCGCCGGGTAATGCGAAACATGCACCACCACAACAACAGCAATAACAACAACAACAACAACAACAACACCACCACCACCACCAACAACAACAACAGCAGCAACAGCAACAGCAACAGCAACAGCAACAGCAACAACAACAACAACAACAACAACAACAACAACAACAACAATAACAACAACAACAATAACAACAAAAACAACAGCAGCAGCAAAAACAACAACAACAAGTGTCGTCAAAAAACGACAGCGCCCGCTGTTGGGCAGGCGACGCTTGTCCCAGATGGGTCAGGTCCGCGGCGACAACGACAGCGAGTCCTGTTCAAGACGGGCAGGAGCTGCTGTGGTCGCCCCCTTTCCCCAGAATCCCCGACGTTATGACCTTGCTTGCAACGTGGACCCCTGGAGGTCTGGACCTCTGTCCCGAGACCCGCTTCTCTTCCCGACTACTTAGTCTTGTTGACGGTCCCGCGGACCCCGGAGCCAGAGCGTTCTCAAAACCTCCGTCGCTGGTTTTTGGTTGCGCCGAGACCCTGAGATCCGACGTTGCAGAAAAAATGCAACACTGTCAGACATCACGACCAGAGCCCTAGACCCCATCTCTCTGGGCCATTTTTCGATCCCGATCGATCTGTGATGGTCCCGGGGCCCGAGACCCAGAGAAAACGCCCGGTCCGAACGAAAATGCGACGCCGGGATCTCAAGCCAGAGTAAGGAGGACCGAGCTCGGCACCGGACGCGCGGCTGGGCGCTCGCTGAGGCTGCGGCGCCGCCCGCGCAGCTGGGACGGCCGACGCACGCCCACCGGCAGAGGAGCTCTGCCCCTGAACGGTCTGCCTGGGAGGGCTGCGTGCAATCCTTCTGACGCCCGGTGAAGGAGCCTGGGCCCCCAAAACCGGTGGCCCATCGGAATCGGTGGCCGATCGTGACCCCCCAGCGTGGCCCCCCATCGTGGTAGTTGGAGTGTCCTCGGGTCCTTTGCCTAATCCCTGAAGCCTCAGCCCTAAATCCGGAGGATTTGTTCAAGGCCCCGGACTCCCAGCTCCCAAATCTCTTGGGGCTTGGCGCGTAGCCCCTGGGCCCCAGGGCGTCGTGTCGCGTGACACGTTCGGGCCCAAGAACACCCCGAAACGGGGCAAGAGGGCCCCGAGAGGCCTCCAAGACGGTCCAAGAGGGCCCAGAATCGCCGAGCGATCGGTCCAAGACGCCCAAGATTGCCCCCAGTCGGCCAAGAAGGCGCCCAAGACGACTCAAGAGGCCTCCAAGAGCACCCCGAGGAGAGCCCCACGACCGCCGATAGTTTTGCGACCTCATGGGCCGCGTGCGGCAGGGCTCTGCTCGACCGGCGGGCCCGGCAACTTTGTTGCCAGCCTGCGCGGCAGAAGTGGGGGTCTCAGCCCCTGCTGCAGCTGCGGCGCCTGCGGCGCCCACAGCTCCAGCCGCGCCGACAACGCCGCCGCCGCCGACGTTGCCGCGCTGGACCAGAGTGGCTGGTGCCTTCCCGTTGGGGCAGCAGTGCGGGCGCGACTGGGTGGGCGGCGACGGCGTCCGGGTCGCCGCGCTTGCAGCCCCGCTTGCCGGCGTGCAGTTGCTGAGCTAGGCTTGCGTGCCCTCAGTCTCAGCCTTCGGCATCGGCGCGCCATGTGGATCGAGCTCCTCGTGGCCACCGCCCCCCCTGGAGGAGGTCGAGCGAGGTCCTGGTCCTTGGTCTGGGGCCTCCTCTGGTCCAGGGGGATTGAGGTTCCTGGCTATTCTTTCCCCATGACGTGCTTGCACTGCGGGAGCGGTTCTCGCCTGCGTTGCCAAGCATCTGGCCGGCGCTTCTGGCCCGTAGACGGCCCAAGGGGCCCCTAAGAGGGCCCCAAGACGGTCCGAGGGCCCCAAGACGGCCCAAGAGGCATCCAAGATTGCCAAAGAGAGCCCCACGACGGCCCCAAGAAGGGCCCAAGAGGGGGAGCCCGAACGGACCATTCGTGCCTTCCGCCCCAAGATGCCCACAGCAGGCCCCAAGAAGCCTTCAAGAGACCGACCCAACGAGGCCCCGATGACTCATGACGCCCCAGAACGCCCGAAGAGGCCTAAAAACGGCCCCCGAGAGGCATCAGAACTGCCTCCAAGAGGCCGCCGAGAGGCCTCCCACGACATCCTAACGAACATCCGAGAGACCTATGACCCACAACCCAGGCACGGTGGCGGGATAGGCCAAAGGAAATTAGATCCGCCGCCCCCTGTTGATTCATTTGCCTGGCGTGCTACATCCTCTCGGCTTTGGTTCTTTTCCAAAAGAACTCCCCCCGGGCTTCCGGCGCGTCCCGCCAGGGTCCCGGAAGGATCTTCCAGAGTCGGTTGCAAAGGGTCTTCCTGCCCCAGACGGCTCCAAGATGACCCAAGATGGCCTCCAAGATGCGTTCAAGACGGCCAAGATGGCCTCCAAGACGGCTGAGATGGCCCCAAGATGCCTCCAAGACGGCCCAAGATGTACCCAAGATGGCGTAAGATAGCCTCAAGATGGCCCAAGACGGCCCAAGAGGCTTCCATACGGCCCAAGAGGCCTCCAAGAGGTGCTCCAGGAAGGCCCGAAGAGGGCCAAATCACAGATTTTCCTTAGGTGTTTGAAATCTGTTGGTCTTTCCCCCTTTTCGGCTTTCCGACGGCTCAAGACGGCCCAGGAGGCCTCCAAAATCGACTCAAGATCGCCCAAGAGGCCTCCAAGATGGCCCCATGACGGCCCAAGAGGCCCCCCACACGGCCCCAAGAGGGCCCCAAGACCGCCCAAGAGGCCTCCAGGAAGCCCGAAATGGCCTCTAAGACGGCCCTGAAGAACCCCAACAGGGCCCCAAGACGGCCCAGGGAGGCCCCCCAAACGGCTTCCGACGGCGTCAGACGGGCCAGAAGCCCACCAAGATGGCCGAAGTTGGCTCGAAGCTGGCCCAAGACGGCCCAAGAGGCCTCCAAGAGGGCGGGCCTCCAGGAAGGCCAGAAAAGGCAAAAAAAAGGTGGCCCTTGGGTTTATGAAGGATTTTGACATTTGCCTCTTTTCGGCCTTCCGACGGCCCGAGACGGCCCAAGAGCCCCCAAAGATCACCCAAAGATCGCCCAAGAGGCCTCCAAGACGGCCCCAGAGCGGCCAAAGAGACCCCCAAGACGGCCCAAAGAGGCCCCCAAGACGGCCCAGAAGGCTTTTAAGACGCCCAAGATGGCCTCCGAGACGCCTCGTTCGGGGGCGGGAGTGTGCAACCCACCTCGTCCAACAACCTATCAGGGGCGGTTGGGTCTCCGGACCTTTCCCCTGAGGGTGGACGGGGAGGTCGGACGGCGACGCCCTTGGTCGAGGCGCACCGTCAGCTGGGGGCGCACATGTCGTTCGGCGGTGGTCTCGACCATGGTCGGGCGGGGTGTGCGGTCCCTGGATGCCTGTGTCGCTCGGCGGTGGTTTCGGCCATGGTCGGGCGGGGTGGGCACCCTAAAATGACCCTTCGACACCGGAAGGTGGTCATCAGAGTCTACCGAGTAAGGCTTGTGAGGAGGTAAGGCAAGGAAAACACGCATGACGACGAGCTCCTGCTCTTCCCGGGTCGGCTTGCACATCGTGTGGCTGCGCTGCCAGTGTTCGTGTTTCTACACGGCACTCTGCCAACCGGCGGGTTCCCCCGACCGTTCGGGGGCGGCTTCGTGTTGGGTTCTGCCCTTCACATCTGCCGGCCACCGGGTTCCCCCGAGTGGCCGCCGCCCCCGGGGCCCCTCGCAGCCGGGACCGTGCTTGCCGGGTTTGGGCTCTTGCTTTTGGGGCGGGTCGTCGTGCGTGGAAAACTTGGGGTATGTGTGCCGCGGGCGTCTGATTTCACCAGACGACACCGGAAGTTGATTTTGTGCTTCTGGGTCTTCGGCTTGGGTGGTTCCAAAGGGGTCGGTTTGTCTAAATGCACTTAGTTGGCGCTCTGCGCCACCGCTGGTGCGGCCACCTTCTTGGGGCCACTTTGTGTTGTTTTTGGGTACTTCCATGGTGGTGTCGCAGAGCGATGCCAGGGTCGTAAGTATGGGCCCCGGGTTTCTCCTCCTGTCAGGCACCCTGCCCCGATTTTGTCGCCCTCCCCCTTCCTCCTCCTTTTCCTTCTTTCCTCTTCCTCCCCCTCCTCCCCTCCCCCCCCCCGCTTCCTCTCCCTCTCTCTCTCTCTCTCGCTCCCCTCCCCTTTGGCCTTCCTTCCCCCCCGCTTTCCCTCCTGGGGGCGGCATAATTTGGGCTGGGGGCCTGGCGGGTCTGCTTTCCGTGCCCCTCCGCCTTCCAGGTTGTGAGGTCACCGCCTTCCGGTCCGGGGTCCGTTTGCGGACATCAACCCGGATGGCGAGGCGAGGGGCGAGGAGCATTACAAAAGGGCCCCAAGTTGGCCCAGAGAAGCTCAAACGGCTTCCGACGGCGTCGGACGGGCCAGGAGCCCACCAAAACGGCCGAAGATGGCCCTAAGATGGCCCAAGACGGCCCAAGAGGCCTCCAAGGGGACCTCCAGGAAGGCCCGAAAAGGCTAACATCATTGATTTCCCATGAGTTGTTGAAGGATTGTGGCATTTGCTTTTTTTCGGCCTTCCGACGGCCCGAGACGGCCCAAGTGCCCCCAAAGCTCGCCCAAGAGGCCCAAGACGGCCCCAAGAGGCCCCCAAGACGGCCCAAGAGGCCTCCAAGCCGCTCAAGATGGCCTCCGAGACGGCCCAAGAGCCCTCCACGACGTCCTCCGAGAAGGCCCGAAAGGGACAAAATGGCCTCCAGACGGCCAAGATGACCTTCAAGATGCCCACGTGTTCCCCGAAGGCTTTCAAAACGGATTCGGGGAACACATGGTCCGACTGCTTGGCAGCTCTGCCCTCAACGTTCAGTCACGTAGGCGCTTCCAAAAAGGCCGGGGCCGGCGGTGATTCGAAGTAGGCGTCTTCGATAGGCGATTGCTCATGTGTCTGAACAAGGGCGTCCCGCGGTCTCGCCACGTTCCCGCTCGTGGGCGCCCTGTGCCCGCTCGTGAGCGCCTCGCTGGCGCCCCGTGCGCTGGGTGGGTTCTGTCGGGGTGTCGCCAAGTTCCCGCTCGTGGGCGCCCCGTGCCCGCTCGTGAGCGGTGTGGCAGCTCACCGCGCATAGCTCACACCACACAGCGTACACCGCATGGCTTACGCAGCATGGCTGGCACCGCACAGCCTGCATCGCAGCTCGCACCACGTAGCTCGCTCCGCATAGCCGACGCAGCATAGCTCACACCACATCACTGACGTAGCGTAGCTTACACCACATAGCTCACAACACGAAAACGTAGACCGCATAGCTCACGCCGCACACGGTTGGGAACTTGTGTCTAGCGTGGCGGGGCGGCGGCCCCGACAGCAAGCTATGCCTTGCAAGCGGATTGTGTATCGCTCCGCTCCGCGGGGCGGGAGGCGCTCGGGACGTTGACTCTTGGAGACTGGAACGTGGATACGTGCCGCTCAAAAGCGCCGTGCGCCAGAACCAGCGGCGCGACAATCTAAGCGGAAGTTCCTGACCGCAGCTCACAGGGCATAATCTACACGACTAGCTTACACTACATCGCATACACCGCATAGTTCACACCACATAGCTCACACCGCATACAGTCGGTCTGCTGAAATAGGAAACGATACGAAACATGTGTACTGCCAAGTCGAGCAGTGAAATCCACAAGACAAGTCGCAAAATCAGAAGGAGCACCGAAGGGGTTCGCCACCAAAAAAAGGAAAGCACGCATACCTAAGGAACCACCGAGCCCCTTTTCCGACCTCGAACTGGCCCTTAATTCAACGATTGTATCTAACCTTGCCAGGCACGGCTTACAATATCTAGATGGCACAGCATAGCTTGCACCGCATAGATCACTCCGCATAGCTTACACCACATTGCTCACACCACGCAGCCCATACCGCACGGCCTACACAACACAGTCTACACCACATAGCTCACACCGTATAGCTCTCACAACATGGTCATGACTACCGAATACAAGATAGCTTACATGACATAGCTAACACAACAGAGCTTAGATCGAAGTGACCACACCGCATAGTTTGCACCTCCACACTGCAATACGTGACTGGGTGGGGCCCACGCTGGCTACATGTAAGCCCACCACGTGTTCGATGACGCTCGAGATCTCGCATGTTCGGGCATGCCAGGCCCAAGACGGCCCCACTGGCCTCCAAGATAGCCAGAAGACGGCTCAAGAAGCCCCCAAGGGGACTTTGAGATGGGCGAAGAGAGTCCCAAGACGGCCCAAGAGGGTACCAAAACAGCCCCAGGAGGGCCCCAAGACGGCCCAAGAGACCGCCAAGACGGCCCTACAGCGGCGGGCTGTTGCTTTAGCGCCGCGAGCACTCGTCTTCACATGCTCAACGATGAAGGGAAGACGGTTTCCAATAGGTGGCTCTCTCCTGAGCGCCGCGCGCATTCGTCTTCACGTGCTGCAGGAGGTTTACGGCTGGGGAGGGGGCTCTCGCCGTGGCGCCGCGCGCCCTCGTGCTTCAAGGATGGAAGCGGCTCCACGTTCAAAGTGGCTTCTCGCCCCAGCGCCGCGAGAGCTCACCGTAAAGGCACGCAGCAACTGCAGGCATCGTGGGCGGCTCGTGTCCCAAAACTGTGCCTCCGCTGGAGAATCCTTCTCTGGATCGCTTCATAATCGCCCCCCCCTTGGAGTGCCCGGGGGAGTGGCCGCGGCGCGTCCGTGGCGGTGCCAGGGGAGGTCTGGGGTTCGTTCACTTCCCCGCTGGGGCGCGGGGGTGGTGCCAAGGGGGGTTGGCCGCGCCGAGTTTTCACGTGCGTCACCCCCCGGTTGATTAATAAGAAGTTCGAAGTTCCCTTTTTCCCTACCTAGGCTCTGCCTAGAAAGGTTCTTACTGTCTTTACTTAAAGGGGCCGGGCAGTGTAACGCGCCCCGGGCGGTTCCCCCAGTCCCCTGGGAGCGGTTCCCCCAGTCCCCTGGGAGCTTTAGCTTTAGCTTTAGCTTTAGCGTTAGCGTTAGCTTTAGCTTAAGCTTAGCTGTAGCTTAGCTTTAGTTTAGCTTTAGCTTAGCGTTAGCTTAGCTTTAGCTTAGCTGTAGCTTCACTTTAGCTTAGAGTTAGCTTAGATTTAGCGTAGTTTTAGCTTAGCTTTAGCGTAGATTTGGCTTAGCTTTAGCTTAGATGTAGCTACGCTTTAGCTTCGCTTTAGCTTAGCTGTAGTTTAGCTTTAGCTTAGCTTTAGCTTAGCCTTACCTTAGCTTGCACTTAGCTTTAGCTTAGCTGTAGCTTAGTTTTAGCTTAGCTGCACCTTAGTTTTAGCTTAGCGTTAGTTTAGCTTTAGCTTAGCTGTAGCATAGCTGTAGCTTAGCTTTAGCTTAGCTTTAGCTTAGCTGTAGCTTAGCTTTAGCTTAGCTGTAACTTAGCTGTAGCTTAGCTGTAGCTTAGCTTTAGCTTAGCTTTACCTTAGCGTTAGCTTAGCGTTAGCTTAGATGTAGCTTAGCTTTAGCTTAGCTTAGGTTAGCTCTACTGTTACTACTAATGCTGCTTTCCTAGGGGCTCCAACTCCTAGGTAGGGTCGCACTGGGATAATTTACAAGCCAGGAGCCTCAGCAGATGCAGCAACTGCGCGGGTTAAGGGCGACTCGCTGTCCGAACTGGGCGTTCGCTTGGGGCGCCTGCAACATTTAAGCCGAGGGGTCTTAGCATAAAATGGGCGGCTGCACGGATGAAGGGCGTCTCCTTTCCAAAAACAGTGTGGTTGCTTGAGACATCCTCCCCCTCCTCCTCCTCCTCCTCCTCGCCTGGAAGCTCGAAGCTCGAAGCTGCAGACCGCATCCGCCAGAACTAGAACCTGGTGCAAACGTTGCACAAATTGGGTTGGTCCTTTCTCAAAACGGGGATATCGCTCATAGCGTCGTGCGTTTCCTACTACTCGCTGAAGAGATGGAATGCAGCAAAAATCCTGTTTCGAGACGGTGCGCTAGCCTTGCCCTTTGGGGGTGTTCTGGAGGGGAAGACGAAGGCACATCTTGCGTTAACTCCTCCTCCACCTTCTCCAAATCATTCGTTCCACCCTTAGTATCTTTGTTATCTCTATATATATATGTATATATATATATATATACACCAGTATGCCTCTCACTCTCTCTATCTCTCGGTCGCCCTCTTCCTCCTCCAAGGGGTCCTCAAAGGTGTCCTACAACAGCTGAGTGAAACTATAGCCCAATGGCTTGGCCAGGCGTCGACCCAACCTTCGGACACGCAGACGTGTCCAAAAGGCAGGGGGCGCGGTGGTTCACGGGAGGGTTGCTGGGGATTCGATAATTTCTTAGAGAGGACCTCTCTAGCCATAATGCAATAGTCGTGGTCCTAGCGCAGCAATCAGCAGCCATGCCTTGGTCCTAGCGCAGCCATGCGATGCTATGCATGTCACGGCGCGGCATGCGAGGCATGCACAGCTCAGCGGCACACGTCACTTGGGGCGAAAGGCGTGCCAGTCAGCTCAAGAAGGCCAGGGTCATCACTCTCAACGCCAAGCGCCTCACTTGCAATCCGTTGGCAAGACTCGGATCCCGTCACATAGCCATCAGCAGCCCGCTTCACCAAGTAGGATACCGATCGTAAGGCCGTCAAAACGAGGACAATGTTTTCAGGCTCGAGTAATGTGGCGTAGTCACCAAGCCCCACTCCCTGCCACATGATTGCGGCAGCTGCTAAGCCTGCAGGGATCCCGCTCATTGCAGCCGTCGACAAATCAAATCCCAAATTTATCACTTTCGTCGAAAGACTGACAAAACCAGCGTCTGGGCTCTTGCACACGGGCATGATGAGCTGCTTAAAAGACTCCATATTCGCCAAATACTCTGCCTTGAAATCCTGGAGGAGGACGGCGTCCAGAAAGTCGTCCGGGACTGCAAAGGAAGATGCTTCTCTGATCGCTGCATCGACTACTGGGCATGTGGCGTTGTGTATGAAACTCTTGATCTGTTTTGTCTTCTCCTCGATGACCTGCCCGGCACTGGGGGGGCTCCGCTTCGCGCCCGCACTCATGAATCGATGCGCCCAGCCCCTGGCGCCCCCAGCAATGGCTCCAATCGGATTGTGGTACCACTTGGAGTCCGCCACGCACACCTCGTAGGCCTGCTTGCTCCGGGTGACAAGACGTTGCTGGGAATCGAGGGCCAACGAGTAAGGGGCCGTGAAGCCTTCAACGAGGGCGCGGTTTGCCTTACTCACAGCTCCGTCAACATACCTGGACCACGTGCGGAGTTTTGCAGCATCGTCGAGCAAATTGGGAAGCAGCGTGGTCCAGCCTTCGCAAATCATGTCCCTGACCTCTCGGCTTTGACTCTCAAAAGAATCGGCCTGAGAGTCCGACTGGAGAGACCTCTTGCATTTGGAAGTATCCGCCCCCACATCAGGCGCGGCTGACCCTCCGCAGGCGACATTGCAAAAGAGATCTCCCAGTCTTGCCTTCTCGAAGCGGGTGTGGCATGCGTCCTTCGAGGGGGGAGGATGCGCTTTATCCAGAGCGGATTCCAGCAGCTGCCGCTGAACAGCAGCCGAGTTCTGGATGGCGACCCATGACGTCTCGAAGCTGAAAACCTCCAGGAGGTCTCCTTCCACGCTGACGAGGAGCTCCCCGCCAGCCAACTCACTCTGTTCGCTGACCCTCGACCCCAAAGCCATGCCGTCTCTGACGATGCCAACAGCTGGAATGACAGCCTGTCCGGCAGTTGACAAGCTCCAAGCCCAAAGCAGAGCTCTGGAGTCTTCGACCAGTGGCGCGCTCAATATGACATCAACTTTCTTGTACAAATTCGTCGCTTTCACCACAATAGCATCCCAGGAGCGAGACATGTTGGCGTGCGCTTCCCCTCCATCGCCTACGGATTGAAGAGATGCACCTTCAAGCCCATCGCGCCTGTAAGCCAGCACTACTGGCAAAAGGTAAGCAATCAATGAAACAAGCCCGTGCATATTCGCAAACGCACCGGATCCAATCCGCCACCGTGTCCTCGCAGTTTGGGGAGCGTTAGTATGAGTGCTAACTGTCTGGTATGGTTGCTGACGTTTTCCAGCATCTTGGACGCAACCAGATTCGGAAACATCGCGCATCTACGCTTTCCCCACTTGCACTCCAGACGGCCCAAGGACGGCCTCGAGCCGGCTCCAAACCCGCCACAAGAAGACGGCATGATGCACCAACACAGGCCGAGAATGACAGAAGACGGCCAGACGGCACACCCAAGCAGCGGTCCAAGACAGACCAAGACGGCCCCAAGGCCCGTCTCGACGGCACCAAGATGGTTCTGCCAAGTCGGCCCTGGCTTGGGGATGTCAGCTGCCTAACTATCCCGGTCAGACCGATGCTGGGCCCAGACCTCCGTGGCCAGGCCAGCAGGGCGGGACCAGCTTTTCATCCCGAGTCGTTCTTGACGGGCACGGGGCCGCGAGAGCCCGCAGGGGCAGAAAGGGCCAGAAACCGTCCGTCGTAGTTTGTGTCACATCGCGAAGGGTCGGCGGAGAGCAAAGGGGGGAAGTGAGCAGGAGGAGGCCTTCTTAAAGGCGGCTTCTCAGAAGCCTTCCGGCCTTCTGAGAAGTTACCTGTGCCTTCGGGGAAGGCTTGGGAAATGTCTCAGAAGGCTCGAGCCCTTCAGAGCCTTCTGAGAAGACTCGCCCCTTCTTACTTCCTTCCCTCGCTCGCCGCCGAAAGCACAACATAAACATAAACGTTCGGAGATCCGCGCGGATGTCTTGGATAGGGTCCCAGCGCAGATCCAAGGAGTCCTCGCGGAGCTCCAGAAGTTCATGCTTGCAAAGTGGTTTCTTCTTCGAGATACCTTCCCCCCCGGACCAGAAAACGAGCGACACGACCCCACCTACGGCCCCACGGGGCTTCGCGTATAGCAAGAGATCTGGCGTGGGTTTTTGCGTGGTATTCGCTACGGCGCCTGACGGGCCGTAGCGCAATATGGAGGGCCGTAGGTGGGGTGGCGTCGTTTGTTTTTTGGTCCCCCCCCCCTGGCTCGCCGCCGAGAGGTAAAGGCGGGGCTCACGAGTCAGCTCGCGCAGTGGGCCTTCCCGGCCCGTGCCTGGCGCCTCCGCCCAGCGGCGAGGCCAAAACCAGCTGCACGCTGTGCAGTCGCCCCCTTTATGATAAGCAATAAAAGTACCCAAGCTAAGATGCCAAGTTCGTTATGGAAAGTGGGTAGTTCTGCACATTTTTCTGACCACATCGCCCAGATGTACGATCCCCAATGCGAAGACGGGGACCCCCGTGAGGCCACGTCTTCACTATTTTAATAGGGTTACGAGTTCTTCTATCCTCGATGACTTCCGTCCGATCCGAGACTCGCCCTCGTACGGTCAACCATTCACTGGGTGTGTTTCGATGTCGTGCCTTATGTGTTTCCGCCAGATGATGTAGTCTGGTCCCCGATGGTCCTCACCGAGAAAAAGCGTACACGTCCGAGCGATGCCGTGTTGTGTCCGACCCGACGCTGGGGGGCTCGCCACATCCTGGAAGCCAAGGATCGCAGAGGAGAGAGGGGCGAGGATCGAGGAGACTCTCTGCACGCTCCTGGGGCGTCCCCAGGAGCCTCTCGGGGGTCCCAGAAGGGGTTTTGTTGCCTGGCTGAGGTGGCGAGCCCCGTATCCATGGTGGCCCCCCTTGGCGCTGCCTGATCTCATCCGACGTCGCAGCTGGTTCGCGGCGCGGGCCCCAGAAGCCTACCAAAGAGAAGTGCAGAGAAGCGTACACGGCTGCACCTCCTTGCTCCGAGATCCCACGGCGCTCCTTGCAGATGCGGGCGGGGTCGCTGGGCTTTACCAGATCACGCAAAACTACCTGATCCAGAGGAGGAGGAGGAGGACAAGAGTAAACCGAAGATGCATCGACGAAGCTGCGATACACCCTCGATGCCCGCCCTCTTCGTTTTCGATCGCACCCCCCTTGGGTGCATATCTTTGTTACCTGCCACGTGCAATTAGCGCAGCCCTTTAAAAAGGAGGAGAGGACGGATGGAAGGGAGAGGGAGAAGGATGAAGCACGATAG